TAGAACGAAAAGGCAATAGCGAGAATAAAAAATAATTAAGGAAAAGAAAAGAGGATAGAACGACAAAGAAAGGCGGAGAAAAAAATATATGAGATAAGGGGGATGACAGGAGGTAACGAAGGATAAAATAACAAGAGAGAACAAGAGACATGGTGAACCACGAGAGCAAACGAGGGAAAAAGGAATAGACATTAGGTAGAAGGAGAAAAAGCAGGAAAAGAATAATGTAGAACAAAAGTTAAGACAGATAAAAAGATAATCGGAAGGACTCGATAGACACAAGGACAATAAGGAAAGATAATGCAGCAGGGCAAGAGGAAAGGAATCAGCGAGAGGCAGAGGAAAGAAAGGACCGGGATGAGATAGAAGAACAGGAAGGAAGGAGGAATAAACACAAGTAAAAAAGAAGAGAAGGGAACTACCAGAAGTAAGAAAGATAAAGTGACATATAACATAAAGAAACGGAGAGAGAAATGAAAAGAAAGCACGAAAAGAAGACATGAGAGAAATGAAATATAGCAAAAATAAGAAGCGAACGAGAGAAAATAAGGAGAAAGAAGAAATATATGGAAAAAAAAAAAGAAAAGGAGGAAAGAGAAAAAGCAAGCAAAAGGGAAAGAAAAAGGGAGATAATAAAAGAACCAAAGTACGAAAAAGAGCAAAATTAAAATAGACAAGAAACAGAAGAGAGAGAGAAAAAAATAAAGCAGGGAAGATAAAGAAAGAAAGGCAGTCAGCCGATCGAAAGAATCGAAAAGAAGTAAGGAGATAGAAGTAAAAAGGGAACGAATAACTCTAGACAATAGAGAAGGAAATAAGAGCAAAAGAGCACAACGTCAGAAGCAAAACTCAGGAGGAAGCGAGCAAGAGAAGAACAGCACAGAGGAAAATGGAGGCAGGTCAAAAGAATATTGCAGAAACAGGAAATAATAAAGGAAAGCAAAATAAAGCAATAACAAAGCCAGGAAAAGTAAGATAAATGAGAAAAGAGAAGTGACAAATACAATGGAACAAGAAAAATGGAATGAAAAAGAGACTTGAAGAAAAAATGGAACAGAAGAAACAACGAAAAAGAGATAGCGAGACGAAGAAACGAAAGGCAAAATCAAAAGAAGAGAGGAAGGAAAATAGAATAAATGACAAAGATGGGAAGTAGCAAGTATAAAAATAGCGAGAGAAAGAGAATTAGTACGATATAGAAAAATGGAATGAAAAAGAGACTTGAAGAAAAAATGGAACAGAAGAAACAACGAAAAAGAGATAGCGAGACGA